AACTTCTTTTGTGGTTTTCTGTTTTACATTTAGATACAAGATACATTCGGGGTTTATTCTTATGTTTTATGTGAGATGTGGGTTGGATTTTAGCTTTTTCCAAATGGCCACCTGGATGTCCCTGTACCATTATTAAAAAGTCCTTTGTGGCCCCAGTCATTTCAGGTGCTGTGTCATGATGCTGGAGGACTTTATGACACGGGTGCCTAGCTTAACATCCAGGCTGAGGGATAGTCTTCCTGCTGTTCCTCTGAAATGGGGCCAGTAGCACCCATGCTGCAGGGTTTTTGCTTTTTAAGTGGATAGCAGACATAAGTGACCTAGTGCAGGGCTGGCCTGTGAGCCACGGCTGGAATTATTGCCACATTGGCACTTGACTTAGCTATGCCCTTTTTGTTCTTCTGTGTTTATGGTTTTGCCGTTCTCATCTCTGCTTTATTCCCTCTTTTTTCTTCTTTGTTTTATCTGTATGTCTATGTTTCCAGTTTTGTGGCTTGAATACAGTCTTACTTGTAGTAGGAACTCAGTAACTATCTATCCAATGTATGAGTAAACAATTGTTGGATTGATACTTGACAACATTTGTGATGGTGACTTTTTCAGCCCTTTTTCCCTTACTTCTTACCTATGCCCTTTCTTTTTCTTTCCTCCAGTCTAGGTTTTAGCCAGCTAGCGGCATTGATTTTCCTGCCTGCCGTCTAAAGGCTGTGGGTTTTAATGACTCTTTGTTTCACTAGTTCACAGTAATGTGACATGTAGGCTGTCAAAACTTTATAGATGTCAAGAAAGATCAAATCTGTTGCATCCTAGTATTTTTAGAGGTTGTTATTCTTATACTGAGTGATATTAAATCAGTCTGACCCACCAAGCTCTCTCGTGAGCTCTTGTTACCTTCCTATGGATTATATTGTTCTTGGTTGCCTCACAGGGAATTTTTCTTCCAGCGTTGGTATTGGAGTTAATCATTAAATGAGCCCTCATGACTAGAGGAGCCCCTTCTTTAAAAGATGGAGGGGACATTTGCTCCTTGTCCATGGTTGGGGGAGTCCTCTCTAGTGCCTGGACCATGTACTGCTTGAGGAGACAAGGTGCCATACGAAGAATGAAAAACCCACCTCATTCTGACCCCACATTATCTTGTCTTTCCTTTTTCAAAGGGAAAAAAAGAGTAAAACTCAACAATGTAAAGATAAGTTGTTGGGACCAATGAGATAAACCAAGACTCCCTATCATTTGTTAAATATTAACATGTGGCAGAAGCACATGCATTATAAACATGAAAAACACACAACACGGTAGTACAGAGGTCGCGAACATAGCCCAAGATCTGATCCTATGCTGGAGACACCAGCTCTGCAGTCTTAAGACCTAGTAAGAGTGCTTAGCTCTCTAGGGTCTTGTCTGCTCACTTGCAGAAATAGGGTACGTGAAGAGTACCTCCCTGTAGAGCTGCTGTGGGCTGTAGAGAACACTGGGACAGTGTTCTCTACATCTCAGTGCGAAAAAATGCTGCTTTTGCTGTGATGGCATTATTACCACCCTGTGTAAATTCTCAGTGCTGCAAAGGGATGTCTTGTGGCTTGGAGGTGGAATTCTCAGTTCTGTAAGTACCTAAGGTTTATGTCACTGGGTCTTGCTGATTTGAATCTGTTCCTTATAAAGTACATATTTTAGATATTTTTTTCCAAGTATGCCCTTTTCTGTTATTATTTATAGTTCTTCCTTGTCATCTCTTTCTGTGATTTTCACAAAGTCCGCAGAAAACAAAATCCTAAGCCACCTGCCTCTTCACAGTTTTCTGTTATACTTCTTTCTTCCTTTACTAGGAGAGGATTTTGCATATGAAATTTTCTTTGTTCCCCTTTTCTTAGAATCTCCCATCCATCCATCTATTTTACCTATCTATTCTTCCTATCTATTACCTGTCCACTTACCTATCTATTCATTTTTCTTCCGTCTTGTTTCCAAAAGCGTTTGAGGCAGCTTACAGAGTTAGAGAATAAAAATTAAGCAGGTGAGAAAATTGGACCAAAACTAGAAAACAAGGGTAAGAAATGAGCATACGCAGGCAGTGTGAGATGCACACCCATGGCTGCGTGCATGTGTAAAGATGGGCAGCTAACTTGTCCCTTAGCCTTCCCGCAGACACAAGGGAAGAGGGATTTGTGGGAGTGCTACTGTCTCTAAGATAAACAAAGAGGCTTAGGAGAAGCCCAACTTTTGTGCACTGAGGCTTAGGAGAATATTTTTGTGAGTATTCTTTGAAATCAAAGAATATTTTATCTTTTTTTTTTTTCTGCCAGATTTGTCTGTGTAGTTGGTTATATTCTGTAAATAGAAGTTTCTCTAATACTCTTCCCCATGTGGGTATGATGGCTAGGGCATTAGGTGGTTCTGCTTATTGACAGGAGTTGGTCAGAAATAGAAAATGACAGCCATAGAAAGGATACTAGTATTTATAGGTCATTAAAAAAAAATGCTGCACAGTTGAGAAAATGCTTTCATGTAGTTTACCCCCTTTAAGGACACAGTGTGGTCCCCTGCTAGCATTAAGAGCTTCAAGCCGTGAGAGAATGCATGCCGATTTTGCTGTAGTCTTCAAGATAACTAAACTAGTTATTGCACATGTTACTTTTATGTAATGCATTTCATGTTCTTTAATAAAAAATTTCAATATGGAGGAAAACTTATTCTGAGTTCATTAACATGTAATACAATGCTTTGATGGTAAGACTATTATAGGGAACATATAAGCTGTAAAGACTTTAAGCACTGTTTCATTATTTACATTTCAGTAGGGCGTATTTAAGTTTCATCTTACTTGTGCTCCTCTTTGAACAACAAAGAAACAAGACACAAAAAGCAAATGGTTATTTCTTTTCTTCCTGTCGGTTTGCAGGTGCCCTCACCACCAATGGCATAAATCCTGACACCAGTGCTGAAATTGGACGTGCTAAGAACTGTCTTAGCCCTGAAGACATAATTGACAAATATAAAGAGGCCATTTCCTATTACAGCAAGGTGATTTTATTGCTTTGTATATTTTTTACACAATGGTGTTTTTTAATCAGAAGTTACATTGTTTAGTGCTGCAGTATCTCTTAATTCATTTCTGTATTTGTGTTTTATTCTCTAATGCATAATACTATATGCCTAAAAATGTTTTTTTTTCTGATTCAAAACACTGTGTATTTACTATAATAAATTTGGAAAAAGGGGGAAAAAGGCTATCTTAGCCCCATTACTGAGAGATAATCATTGTTAACATTGTTATATCTGTTTTCTGGTCCTTTTGATATTTACTATAATAAATTTGGAAAAAGGGGGAAAAAGGCTATCATAGCCCCATTACTGAGAGATAATCATTGTTAACATTGTTATATCTGTTTTCTGGTCCTTTTGTACATGTATATTATCTGATCATAAAAAATGATAAACATGCTGTACTTACTATATGGTGACCTACTTTTTTCATTAGGCATATTGTATGTTTTTCTGTTATTAAATCTTCCGCAACATTATTTTTAATGGCCTGTATAGCATTCCATCTTGTGGATACACCATTCTTTTTACTCTGGACTTAAAAAATTTTTAAAATTCTAAATGTACTTAGTAAAATACTGAGAAAGAAAACTCAAGTTGTATAGAAGAGTGGTATCAAGTAAAAAATGAAAGTCCCTTGACTCCTCTACCCTTACTTTCTAATGGTAATTATTAACAATTTGGTATGTATTTTTCATGAACTTTATGTATGCCTGTGAAATGTACACACACACACGTTTTATTTACAAAAATGGGATCATACCCGATATGTTATTTTGCAGCTTTCTTTATTCAGTCAGCAGTATGTCATACGTCACAGATGTCTTCCCACCTCAGACCTGTTTGATTTGTTCCAACAGTGTGGAAAAAAGTCTTTTAAAATGTGGAGGTAGTCAGTTATTCATCATCTTGTGAGAGACTGTCTTCAACAGCAGGCTCTTACGGAGTTTGCAGCTTGACGTGATTTACTTAATTCTCTTGTTGATAGATACTTAGGGTTTCTCACTTTGCCACTGTTAGAGAAAATGCTTTCTTGTGCATGTATTCTTGTGAACACAGAATTCTTGTGTATGAGTTTAGGTTTGATTTTTCTAGAAATTTGATTGCTGGATAAGATGTTTACATTTATCATAGGTTATTTTCATGTTGCTCTCCAAATTTCTTCTCCAACAGAAAATGAAAAGATGTAGATTTATTTAACCAGTCCTCTGTTACTGAATGTTGTTTAGCTTTGATTTTTCTTCCCACTATGGTGTTCTGAGAAATGTCCCTGTAGATAAATCTTTTTGGACTGATATATTTTTTTAAGGGAACAATTCCTAAAAGTGGACTGACTCAAAGAGTATACTTTTTTTTTTTTTTAGGGTTATATATTCCTATATTGTCCTCCAGAAAGGCTGTTAACAGTTGATTCTCCCACAAACACACACTAGCTGTTATCCTTTTAAAATATCTGCCCATATGATGGCAAAAATAACTTTTCATTGCTCCAGTTTGCATTTGATTGCTGGGGAGGTACTGAACATTTTCACTTGTTATCCATTTGCATTTCTTTTGTGGACTATTTGTTTGTGTCCTCTGCTCACGTTTACATTAGGATGCTTTTCTTATTGCTTTGTGATAGCTCTTTGCATAGTATGAATATTAACTTCCTGTCTGTCATAGACATTGCAAATGTTTTTCTTAATGTTATTTGCCTTTTAACTTTGTTTATAAGATTTTTCTTTTCAGTTGCAGTCAAAAATGTATTTTTAATGTAGTAAATCCTTTCCTTATGGGCTTTACCTTTGATGTAATGCTTAGAAATACTTTCTTAATAATAGAATAAACTCTTTTCCTCAGTTTATTTCTAAAGTAGGGAAGACATTAGTACCCATCACCTCATAGAGTTGTAGTTAGGATAATCTGAGATAACATATGCAAAGTATTGGCCATTGTTAGCATTTAAAAATATTTATATTGTTATCTATAATTTTATTTTGTGTGCATTAAGACATAAGAATACAGTTTATTTTTCTAGGTGATTATCTAATTCCCCCACTACAATTTAGTGAATTCAGTTTTTTCTCTTTCATTTGAAATCTCACTGATACTAAATACTTACATATACTTGTGTCTATTTCTGAGCATTTCTTTCTACCATTCTATCTTTTCTTACCCTAGCACCATGATATTTTTATCTGTTGTAGTTTATTTAACATTTAGTACTGTGTCTTTTTTAAAAATTCTTTTCTCCCATTCCAAATTTTCTGGGTTAGTATGATGAATTTATTATTCCTGAAGAATTCTGAAATAATTTGTTTAAGGTAAAAAAAAAAAAAAATCAGATTGGCTCCTGAGAGCTCCTTATCAATTAAAAAAAAAATCAGATTGGAGTTTGGAAGGGGCTTATAGTAAGTTTTAAATTATTATTATTATTATTATTTTTCCTTTTTCGTGTCCGGCAATGGAATCGCAACCCTTGGTGTCGCACCCGCACCTCGCTCAGCCAGTGAGCGGGAACCGGTCTGTATGTGGGATCCGAACCCTCGACGGGAGCGCCGCCGCACTCCCAAGCGGCGCACTGTAGCAGTGCGCCACCGGGCCGGCCCTTAAATTATTTTTGAGAGAACTTTTATTTTTATAATATTGCTTTCCTCCATAGAATATGTTATTGTCTCTACATTTATGTGTATTATTTTAAGTACCTCTATATAGTGGTGTAATTTTCTTCATAAAGAACATGAGCATCACTTTGAAGTTTATTTCTTGTTATTATATGTGTTTCTGTTAATTTTGTTAGTGAGATTTTTTTTGCTATTATATTTTCTGTTTAAAGCTGAGGTATAGAAAGGCAGGTTGAGTTTTAAGTCATTTTGTAACTAACCATTTAAAAATTGTAAGTGTTAAGTACTTTAGAGCCCTTTCCTGTCTATTTTTAAAAATTTGTTTCTAAATGTATCAAAATGGTAATAGCTAAGTTCTGTAGATGGGGAGGCGGAGAGAGCTGATGTGGCTTGTGTAAGTGTTCAGCAGGTTGTGGCTGCCTTTGGACTGGAGAAGCAGGGTAGTGGCCCTGAAAGAGCCAGCTCAGACCAGTGAAGGCTCTGATCATGCACAGAGTCCACTCTCCTGCCATTGTGGTTAAGTCTGTGGGCACAACAGGTAGGTGGATGCCACTTCACCAGCCGTGTCTGACTGAGCACCAGCGGCTGCCTAGAGCACTGTGTCGATAAGAATTTGGGACTTCATGGGCCGAGCCCATGGCGCATGCGGGAGAGTGCGGCGCTGGGAGCGCATCAGTGCTCCCGCCGCGGGTTCGGATCCTATATAGGGATGACCGGTGCGCTCACTGGCTGAGCGCGGTGCGGCCAGGCTCCAAAAGGACCAAAAAAAAAAAAAAAAGAATTTGGGACTTCATGGGCCGAGCCCATGGCGCATGCGGGAGAGTGCGGCGCTGGGAGCGCATCAGTGCTCCCGCCGCGGGTTCGGATCCTATATAGGGATGACCGGTGCGCTGACTGGCTGAGCGCGGTGCGGCCAGTCTCAAAAAGGACCAAAAAAAAAAAGAATTTGGGACTTCATCTCTAGGGGAAAGATTTGTCTGCCATGCACACAGCAGGGGAGTTGTGTGGCCCGCATGATGGAAGGAGCAGACTATGGAGTGAAGCGGAACCGAGTGTGGATCTCTCCTCCACCGTTTACTGCCCATCTGAATTATAGGACCTTTTTGAGCTCCAGTTTTCTCATCTCAAAATGGGGAAATTAAGGCCTGGAACACAGAGTGTTTAATCAGGGTAAATGATTATATTGTTTACCTATGCGTAGCACAGTAAATGCCTGGCAGAGCGACAGGCTCATTAGTATTACTCAACAGAAAATTGGTTATTGCCTCTCTTCCTTAGTTCAGTATTCTATCTGAGGGAGAAACAAGTTCCTAGTATGTATGTGATGCAAGTAGAAAAAGAAAATTAGTGTCTTGCCTTTCTCTAGCTGTGTTCTTATTCCTTTGCTCCTTTTAGCTCTTTTGGCTCTTTTCTCCTTTTCTTTCCTCTTCCACCTTGCTGTGGATTGAGTTGTGTCCCCCAAAGTTCCAAGTATTAGAAACTTAACCCCCCTACTGTGACATTGTTAAGAGTGGGGGAAATCCTACTATGGCAATTGAAAAGTGGGGCCTTGAAGAGATGATTGGATTGTGAGGACCCTGCCCTAGTGAATGGATTAACCCTTTGGTTTAATGGTGGTCATGGCATGATTCTGATGGCTTTAAAAGAAGAGTGAGTGGGGAGGTTACTCTCTCTCTGCTCAAGCCATCCGCCATGTGACACCCTGAGTTGCTGCATAGCGTCACCACCAGCAAGGCCCTTCCCAGATGTGTTCCCTGGACTTTGGACTTCTCAGCTTCTGAAACTGTAAACAATAAGTATTGTTTCTTTACAAGTTACCCAGTTTGAGGTATCTTTGTTATAAGCCACAGAAACAGACTAATACACACCTCCTCCACCAAAAGAGCTTGAGACTCTCATGCTACCCAGAACACTAGATTAAAATTGCTTTTAATGTTGGTCCATCACCATGAAATGACAGTGATATAAAAAACACTTGGATGCTTTGGAGATTTGATTGGTCTGTACACGCACTCACATCAGGCCATCTTCACTGAGAGTGGTAACAAAGTCTCTTAAGCGACTCTTTCCTGGCTTCATGAATGATTTTTTATTGGATGTCTGATTTTTGGCCAAGGAAATCCTCTTCTGTTGGATAGATGAAATGGAGACCTAGACATTCTTCTGAGATATTGGTGTCATCATATTTTGAATTGGAAGGAAGCTTAAACAGCATATAGCCTTATACCTTTCTATAGGTATAAGGAAATGTAATCCCAGACAGTTGTGTCTTGATCAAAGTCACACAGAGGTATAATTTGGACTAGAACTTAGGTCTCATGTTTTCTTGTACACACAGATAACAAGACAGTGGTTTGTTGGGGCAGAGGACCCTCCTCTCTGGAGTTCCAGTGTCTTGGCAGAGATGTCAGTGCTCACCTTAAGTTCATGGTGGTCTCCCCATAGAAGGCCACTGTCTCCTAGTAGATCGAGCTTCTAATCAACAAGAAATTCTGGGGCCGGCCCGGTGGCGCACTGGAGAGTGCGCCGCTTAGGAGCGTGGCGGCGCTCCCGCCGTGGGTTTGGATCCCATGTGGAGACCGGTTCGCGCTCACTGGCTGAGTGCGGTGCGGGCGCAACACCGAGGGTTGCGATCCTGTTGCTGGTCAGCAAAAAAGACAAAAAGGAAAAAAAATAAAAAAGAAATTCTGGACGCATTCATGTTTCCCAGAGCTTTTCTGCTGATCTGCTGACATTTTGAGAAGTCCTAAGAAACCACTGGACACAAAGCCCTTGTTGTTATGGTTTGCCCTCAGGTCCCATCTGTACAGCGTGCTGTCCAAGGCTAGATAAGGCTAGATGTAAACGAAGCAAGGGTGACAGTCTGTGGTGCCGAGCCTTCTCCCTGTCCCTCATGGGATAGTATTCCCACCTCAGGTTTAGCATCAAGGAGACCTGAGTTCAAATCATGCCCTCACCAATTGCTAGCTTTGTGACCTTGGCAAGAAACTACTTTTTGGTGTCCCATTTTCTTTATCTGTAAATAAAGATATTAATTTTAGGTTTTTTTTTTTTTTTAAGAATTGAATGAGATAATTTCCTTACTTATTCCTAAAGTGTTGATTGCATGGTGGGCAGTTCCTAGGGAGTCAGCAGTGAAAATGGGGGCATAGCCCCTGCCTCACGCAGCTTATGTTCAAGGGTTAGGCTTGCAGAAGGCTAGGTATGTTTCACGTTTTTAGTAAATGGCCATTCTTTTCCTAATCCCCATTCTTGTGTGTCTTTCTACTAATTTATGAGTAATTATTAATGATCCCATTTCAAATCTCCTTGTAATATAATTTAATATATGTAAATTTAACCAAAAATATGTAGGGAAAAAACCTTAGTTGATTTTCTCATTTTAGTAGAAATTGTATTAAGAGTTTTCACTTTTTTTTTTTTCGCGGCTGGCCGGTATGGAGAACCAAACCCTTGACCCTGGTGTTACAAAGCTGCACTCTAACCAACTGTGCTAACCAGCCAGCCCCAGTATTAAAAGTTTTGAAGGAAAAGTAGCCATTTTATTTCAATAGAATCAAGTCCCTATGTTAGTTTTTTTTGGTATTGTTGTTAAGTGTTATATAAAAGTGATAGATTTCTGACTTTGATCTTTGTATTTAGGTAAACATAAATATTTTCTTTTTCTGATCATCTTTGATAAATTGTATGTAATATACCACAGATTATGTGCATGTTATGTGTGTGGAAAAGAAGAAATGAAGACTTGCCTTTTCTGGCACAGTAATTATAAAATTTCTGTCCCATCTTATACGTAATTTCAGTAAGAAAGATGGTCAATTACATTTACACCTTTGCTTCCTGGTGACTGGTAAATAGGCAGACTGCATTTTCTTGAGCAGCTATGCCACTCCAGGCCTGTAGTGGGTCTCAGTAAAAACTTGTTGATTACCTGTGTTGATTTTCATGTTTTAATGCCTCAGTGAAGGAATATAAGTATGTTATCCTCTCCAACTGCAGGTTCCCTTTAGGTGTTAGTGCGTACGGACTTAACCTCTACAAACATTTTCTTAAATTTTAAGATGTTTTTCCCCCATACTTTTCAATTAAAGATCACTCCAGCTGGGATAACTAAGAAAAAATAAAAAAGTGTTTGGAGTAGAAAAGAAAAAGGCCAGGGCCGGCCCGGTGGCGCACTGCTACAGTGCGCCGCTTGGGAGCGCGGCGGTGCTCACTGAGGTTTCAGATCCCACATACAGACCGGCCGCTCACTGGCTGAGCGAGGTGCGGGCGCAACACTGAGGGTTGCGATCCCGTTGCCGGTCCTGGTCCGGTACGGGCGTGACACTGAGGGTTGCGATCCGTTGCCGGTCATGAAAAAAGACAAAAAGAAAAAAAAAAAAGAAAAGAAAAGAAAAAGGCCAGCACTACAGCTAGCATGGAGCATTTTGCAGTGGAGCCTTGGGAGGGAAAAGGGCATCGGAGGGAGAGGAGGGAGCTCTGGGCGTTGGAACCCCACTCCTGAGCCTGCTCGGGATCCAGAACCACACGGTGTTTAAGGGTGGCTGGGGTCGGCTCTCCTGGTTTGAAGTTACCTTGGCAGGACCCTGAGGATTGGGGGTGAGGTTTGAGAAATGCTCACCCAGTTCATTGAGTGGTTGGTGAAGTCGCACAAGCCTTTTCTCTTCCCTATGCCCTCGTTCATTCTCCATCTCAGGGACCACAGCAGGATCTGAGAAGTAGGAACAGGCAACTGGGAAACAAAGTCAGACACTGAACATACAGGGAGCCAGAATTTTAATAACAAAGTAAAATGAATTTACAACTACCGCGTTAAAACTGCAGGTGTGAGAGATTCTAAACATGTTTTTTGAGTACAAGGGATTGGTAAGTAGAAGTGAATGGCAAAGTTTCCATTTAAAATATTTTGAAATTTTGTAGACTGTCAAGCTACTGTGATTGTATTATTTTAATGAATGCAAACATATTTATATGGGCATGCATAGGTTCACTCAGTCCACCAACCTCTTTGGCCACCATAAAAGATAGACTTTCTCAAAAACAAATTCTCATCCCCTGGATGGGGAGGGGATTGTCCTTGTTCTGGGGGAGGTGCTGTTGCAGAGCTGTCGAGTCCCAGAGGTACAGGCTTCCTAATGTGACAGAAATGTGTTTGCTCCTCTTTGTTGACTGAGGTGCGTCCTTTCTACCCCATAGTATAAGAATGCTGGAGTGATCGAGTTAGAAGCATGCGTCAAAGCTGTACGTGTCCTCGCAATTCAGAAGCGGAGCATGGAAGCTTCAGAATTTCTTCAGAATGCAGTTTACATTAATCTTCGACAGGTGAGTATATGTCTGCCTGCAAGTGGAATGTGTTCACTACTAATGCAGCTTATTTTGCTATTCCAGGATTCTACATGGCATAATAAAAACTGTGGAGTCGTAACTTGATATCCCGATTAATGTGGGTATTTGTATGTTTATGTACTTTATGGTATTTTACTTTCAAAATTCAGAATTTGCTGTCCTTTCAAATTTTTTTGATTGGAGAAATAACTTTGCCTCTTACCACCTTCGCAACATTGAACAGACCTCATGCCTCTATCTCAATCTGTCACTTGTGGAGTGCTTGCCATTTGTGATCCTAACTGGATTGTTGGGTTTATAAAACCTGAAGCTCATGAAAGTACTCTGTATAGCTCCTTTTACACAGTAGGCACTCAACAAATATTAGTTAAATCTGAATCTGAATAGGTTTTAATAAAATGAAACCATTAAAACATTTAGTTGTGGATTATTAATGCAAAATCCCAAAATTGATGGTCTTAGAAGGATTTTAGATATTTAGCAGTCTAACTTGGATCTTTACAGATAGGGAAACCAAGACTTCAAAGTTAAGCAGTTTGTTTGAGGACACAGGACTCAGAAGGGAATAGAGGCTGCTGTAAGTCAGCAGGTACTTAGTGAGCAGGCGTGTGCTGTGAGTGGGGAAGAGAGATGAGCAGGCAGATCCTGCCTCGTTGAGCTGACAGTGTTGTTGGAAAGGCAGACATTGAACAGTGGGGTAAATGGGAAAAAATTGGAGGCACAGGTGCCCAGGGAGCAAGTGGCAAAAGGATTTAACCTAGTTTGGTGGAGGTGGAAGGTATGGGGTCCAGGGACTGTCTCTAAGGCAGTGAGATTGAAGCTGGGCCTTAAAGGATGACCAGGAGGTAGCCAGGTGAAGAGGATGTGGGAAAAGAGGATTTGGGAAGAAGATACCTCTCAGCATGAGTGATGGTCTGAGACAGAGCAGACCCCTGGAAGGGATCAAAACAGGTAAGTGGTGCAGGTGGGGGGAGGGGGAGGAAGAGAGAGAGGGAGGAATGAGTCTCAGCAGGGGAGCTTTCTTGGCCAGGTGAAGAACGTGGAATTTATTCTAGGAGCAGTGGGTTTTAAAAGAAAGGTCTTAAAAGCAGGGAAATGATATGGTCAGATTTATGTGGAGCAGGGAAGAGTGATGGAAAAGCCCAGGCAAGCAGTGTCCCTGGCTCCCACCAGAGGGGTGGGGCTGTCGATGGAAAAGCAGACATGCTTAGGAGTTGACACGGAAGCGTTGACACTGGCGGTGTGTGCGGCCGGGTGGAACGATGCCCAGGCTTCTGTTCCTTCCATTAGGTGAATGGTGATCAGGCCGGGTGGGCTCTGAGAAGGACAAACTGCAGAGGAGCTGAGGAGGGAAAGATGAGGAGTTCCGTTTCGGACCTAACAAAGAGACTCTGAGATATGTGGGTCTGGGGGCTTCGGTGAGAGAGAGGGGCAGTGGGTGGAGGAGGGGAGAGAAATGTTAAAATCATTTTCTATTTTGAACATATAACATACTCTTGCCTCTGTCATCCAGATTTAAAATGTTGACATTTTGTCATTGGCCACAGGCTTAATTTTTTCAATAGAAAGAAAATAAATAGAAACAAAATAACAGAGTTAATCACCATTTTAGAGTTGGTGAGTATCCTTTCCACCCATATTTTGGTACTTTGCAGGTTTATAGCTGTAGTCTCTAAAAGGCAGAATATTTTAGCATAGTAGTGAAGCACAGGGACTCCAGACACAGACTACTGGGGCTCAGATTCTGGCTTCACCCCTTGGGCAAGATATTAAACCCCTCTGTGCCTTCCTTTCTCATCTGGAAATCCCGTTTGCTGCCCTCAGGCCCCTCCTCCCAGCTGATTTCCTAGATTAGACCCTGGGAGTGAGGCTGCTAAAGTACAAAGTGTCAGCCCAACGCCAAAGGGAGAGACAAAAACAGAATAAAGTCAGTAAACTGAGTAAAAACAAATAAACCAAAAACAAACAAAAACCAAACAAAACCCCCAAATAACCGCCCCAAACCCCACAATGTTTTAGGCCATTTAGCCTAAGGGAAACAGTGCCCACAGACTCAAAGCTGTCGAGAGCATCAGTATTACTGGTGCAATGTGTCATCAGACAAGGGTCAAGAAGAGGTCAGTATCTTTTGATTTACATTGAGTTTGTAGTAATGATGGGTAGGGAAAAAAAAAAAAAAACAACCTGCCACTTCAAAATGGAAACTTCAATTAAATGGGAAACTGCCCATGGTGAGGCAATCCGTCCCCAGCGATGTTGGGTAAATGATTTTATTTACCATTTAACGTGATGTTCGGGTGACCTATTAAGGGTTAAGCACTGTGCCAGGCTGTGGATTGACTAGGATGCCAAAGGCATAGTCCTTGCTCCAGGACTGAGGAGTCAAGAGGTGCTCAAGAGCCAGCCTCTGAGCAGGGGGCACTTGGTATAAATGCATGGCTGGGCGTGAGCCCCAAGTGTCTGGGAGCAAGAAGTCATTTGGTGGTCAGAGCGATTTTGTCAAGGGCAGGTCGGGGTTGGAGCCTGTTGTAGGTCAGGTATAAAAGTAAGGAATTATGGGCCTCACCAGGCTGGTGAGAGAGAATCCTTATAGGAATGCAAGCTTGGAAGTCAGATTGGAGTTGAGTGGTCAGGTGGGTGTGGGTTCACACCCCACTTTGCCACTTGTTAGCTTCATAGCTTTGAGCAAAATCAACCCATGTCTCTTAATATTTTCATCTGTAAAACGATAGGATAGTGAGCTCGCTTGCATGGTGATAAGGATTAGCTTAGGTTAGATACTCTGTGTCCTGCACCAGTTAGTGCCTGCCCTATAGAGCGACTCTGTAGGGGGCCAGTGTTATCATCAGCTGGCAGACCTAAGGGACAGAGTGGAGGATGGATCATGCTTTTCAGACAGACCCTGAGAAGGTCTGAAGCTATGTAACTGCAGACAGTTGGGTTGGGATCCGGGCGTGGGCAGCGCTTTGGGCTGAGAGAGCCCTGCTCAGAAATCCCTGGGGAGGTTGGCCTCTTCACACTTGCTTGCCCTTAACCACCAGAGTTATCTTTGCAAATTAATGTCTAAAATTTGGGCTTGTTGCAAAGCTGCTTTCACAGGTGGGTATATAATACACATTTTATAAGATAAAATGTTTTGACTTAAAATGTGTGCAAATTTGTTGCTGTTTGCTTGGTCTACCCTCGCACATCCGGCAGGGGTAAACTTCCCACTCTCCTGCTGCTGGGGAGCAGAGCTTTCTCCGACATGATACTTTGCTTTAGTTGACTCATCTCCGTGTGTGTTTGCCAGATGAGCAGGCAGCAGAATAATGAGTTCTGGCGGGATTTTATAATAACCATAAAAAAAGAAGGGTCTGTAGTTTTTCTGAAATAGAGCAAGCGTTTGGTTCATGATCAAGTGTGCTCCATTGTGGAATTAATGAATTGTGTCTATTCCTGGGAATGATTTTGGCTAACGTTGAAATTTTGGAAGGAACTGAGATATGATTATTGCAGGTTCTTTCTGCTTTAAGAATCCCTGCACAAATATAAAAACTGATCAATAGTACATTTGGATTTAATAGTATTGGAAAGGATCTCTTCACTCTACAGAATTCAGTGCAGAATTCCTCTTCTTTGTGTGCAGGGACATGGATTGACCTATCTTTTCTTTAGTTGTCTAGGAGAATAGTTTATAATAATTATTTAGCACTAACAAATGGCAGCAAACACTTCAGCTAATAAGTGGCAGTCTATATGTCTGTGTGCTGGACATGTGGTTTTTACAGCTAATAAGTGGCAGTCTATACGTCTGTGTGCTGGACAAGTGGTTTTTACAGGCAAATGGTGAGGTGGAGGTGAGAGGTGCAGAGAGCACAGACTTTCGCATCAGCTAATAAGTGGCAGTCTATATGTCTGTGTGCTGGACATGTGGTTTTTACAGGCAAATGGTGAGGTGGAGGTGAGAGGTGCAGAGAGCACAGACTTTCGCACCCCAGACTTAGGTTTAAACCACCATTTGCTTACTGTGTGGCCTGGAAGAGTTAGGTTACCTCTCTTAGCCTGTTTCCTGAGCCGTAAGACGGGAATGATAATACTCACTTCTTCTAGAGTTGTCGTGAGTTGTAAACGATTTGTAATGCATATAAAGTACTGACCACACTGCGTGGTGTATAGAAAGTGTCCATAAATGTGTGTGCTTCATTAGTACTGTTGCAAAGGAATAAAGGCAGCTCATGTTTGTTGAGGACCCATTAACAGACACTTTAATAGTTTGTGAACTTGGTTGTTTCCTTTAATCCTTATAATTCTGTGTTCCAACTGCAATTATTCCTATCTGCAAAGGAGGTACTTCAGGCCAAAGAAAGGTGGTGTGACTTGTCCGAAGTCAGGCCATAGCTTGAGAGGTGAGAGGCCTCTGGAGAGTGTGCTTGTCACTCTCTCCTTTACTACTGCGGTCCATACCGAGGCCAGGCGCCCAGCGCTGTGTCAGGCTGTCTGCAGGCTCTTGAATATGCAGTGGGCAGCAAAACAGATGTGGTCCTGCGCTGACTGGGCTTCAGGTCTGGAGGGAGAAACAGGCACTAAACAGATAAACATAAAAATAAGTTACGAATTTAATCAATTCTACAAAGGAAAAGAACATGCCCTGCCATGTAGATCTGAGGAACTTTCTCACCTCTGCCTCTCCATTTGCCTGTGCACAGACTTACAGACAGCCACTTATTAATTGAAGTGTTTGCTGCTGTGTGTTAGTGCTAGCTACTTATCATAAACTACTCTCCTAGTCAGGGCTACTTTAGTGGTAGCGATCCCAGAAAAACAAGTTGTTACCACACAAAGAAAACGAAAAGGCAAAGCCCCTCTCTCTCATCAGATAAATTGAAACTCACTGATAATATGTACTACTTGTTAAGCATCCAGCTTGTTGCATGCATTTCACTAGGTGCTTTACAGATATTGGTCATAATCATCATGACAATTTTGCTGATCAC